AACGAGGCACATGAGAAAGGAGAAGGGTGCAAATTATGTCGCTATGTTAATTTATCTGTGAAGTGCACAGGATTCCATGCAAAGTACAGACCACAGTGCTCTGCAGAGCAGCTGCCAAAATAATACACATTGGTTTTTACTTCTCTAATTTAAAATTAGCAAACAAATGAAAATATTTAACATTTTAACGGTCCACCAAATTTACAAGAAAATTTATAATCAACATACTTCACAAAATCTACTCAAATTATCTAACAAGCTTTTACTTTATAAACCACCAAATGCACTGTTTCATTTCTTTGTTTGTTTTGGATTTTCTCTCTGTAGCCCTGGCTGTCCTGTAAAGACCAGGCTAGCCTTGAACTCAGAGATCTACCTGCCTCTGCCTCCCAAGTGCTGGGACTAAAAGTATATATCACCAAGCTGGGCTTGACGTTTTATCTCTTGAATTTTGAATGATCTGAAATGTTAGCTATTAAATAAATAGAAATGCAATATTAAAAATAAGGGGGGCTGGAGAGATGGCTCTGCAGTTAAGAGCACTGACTGCTCTTCCAGAAGACTCAGGTTCAATTCCAGCACCCACAGGCAGCTCACACCTGTCTGTAACTCCAGTTCCAGGGCTTCTAACACCCTCATACAAACGTACACGAAGGCAAAACATCACTGAATGTTAAATAAAAGTAAATTATTTTTTAAAAAGTAATAAGAAGCCATAATTTGTACTGCTGTGAGATTTAACTGCTTAAAATATAAGTGAAACCCTATAGATACTTTTTTCTTTTTTAATCAACAAGCTTTCTTTTTTCATCAATAATTGGTTGGTATAATTATTAAAATTATGCATATGGTTGAACTAAATACACATCAGTCCTTTTTTCTTTTTTTTTAATGTGCCTGGCTGTTTTGCTTGCATATATGTCTGTGTACCATGTGCATGCAGTAATACCTTTTTTAATTTATTTTTTTAAAAAAAATATTTTTTCTCATTTTACATGCCAAATCCATTTCCCACTCCCTCCCCTCTTCCTGCTCCCTCCACCTCCCAACCTACCCCCTCCCCACTCCTCAGAAAGGGTAAGGCTTCCCATGGGAAGTCAAGTCTAGCATTGTTTTGAGGCAGAACCAAGGCCTTTCCCCCCCTACATCCATAGAGAATGAGTTTCAAAAAGCCAGAACAAGCAGTAGGGATAAATCCTGGTCTCACTGCCAGTGGCCCCACAATCTGCCCCAGCCATACAACTGTCACCCACATTCAGAGGGCCTAGTTTTGTCCTATGCTAGTTCCCTCGCTGTCAGGCCGGAGTTGGAAGGCTGTCATTAGCTCAGGTCAGCTGTTTCAGTGGGTGTCCCCATCATGGTCTTGACCTCTTTGCTCGTATTCTCACTCCTCCCTCTCTTCAGCTGGACTTTGGGAGCGCAGCCCTACATGTCAACCTTGAAGGAAGTCTTTGGGAGTGCGGTCAGCTGTCTGAACACTGTAGTCTGATCATCGTGTCCCGCTCTACAGGCATCTTTACATCACTCTACACATCGTGGCTGACTGTGTGAAGCTCTCCCTGGAGCAAGGCTGCCTGTACTGCAATACAGCCTTTTCCATTTGTGTTACGACTTGACCTGTGAGGCCTCTGCTTACTTTCCTGGCTTTATCCATCTGTTTTCTACCAGGTATGAACACAGAGGTTCGAGTTTATTCTTTATTCTTTCCATGCGGGTATCTGGTCTTGGCATCACTTTTTTAACTGAATTATCTTAACACCTTTGTCAAAAGCCAAAAAGCTGGAAACCTCAAGTTCAATGACACCCAGAGCAAGAGCTAACCTTCTGTCTGTAGATGAGCTTCAGCAGAGGAGGAAGGCCCTCAGGTGGTGTGGCGTGTGCCTATAGCATCTCTGCTGGCCAGAACATTTGCATACCTCTCACCACATTTATCAAAGGGAACGGAGCCTCAGAAATAAGAACTACTGCACATACTATAACTTAATGCTCAATCAACACTCATTAAATAGAACTTTATTCGGGAGTTCTGCTAGGCTTCTTTTCAAGCTAACTGCTGGAGGGTTAAATTAAATACCAATATATAATTTTTTAAACATTTACTTTATTTTATGTGTATACTGTTTTGCCTATATATATGCATATATACCACATACCTGTCTGATGATATTGAAGTTCAGAAGAGGGCTCTGAATTGTCCTCAAACTGGAGTTACAGATAGTTATAAACTACCATGTAAATGCTAGGAATCAAACCCAGGTCCTCTACAAGAGCAACAAGTGCTTCTAACTAGTGAGCCATCTCTCCAGCCCAGTGCGTGTATACATGTGTGTGTTTGTGTGTGTGCGGTGTATTTATTTTCCATGTATATATGTGGATATGTGCACATGAGTGCAGGTGCCCTCCAAGACCAGGTGTTTTGACTCCCTTGGAGCTGCATTTGCAGTCAAATGTCAGTCACCTGACACGGGTGCTGAGAACAGAACCAGATTCCCTCTGCAGGAGCAGCTGGCACTCTTAACCACTAAGCCGTCTCTCCAGCCCAATACAAAATTCTAATCTACTTACTAGAAACATTTCCTTTCAGCAAACAGTAAAAACTGATCGACTTAGCCATTTTTAGCAAGGAGAATTATTTTAAGTACTAGAAAAGTGAACCAGGAGCTGGGGCAAGGGCTCAGTTGGTAAAGTGCTTGCCACCCAAGTATTACGAGTTGAGTCTGAATCCCTAGCAGCCACATAAAAAGCTGGGTGTGTGGTGGTGTACCCCTGCAATCCTAGCACTGGTGACGCAGAGACAGACAAGATTCCTGGGGCTTGCTGGCCAGCTGGCCAACTTAGGCACTGGTGAGCTCCAGGTTCTGTGAAACCCTTACAAAAAGCAAGGTGAGTCTAGTACAAACATGAGTACCTGCATGCAGACCCACAGCGCCCCATAAAACTAGGCAAAACTCTATGTGCTGTACTCCAGCACCAGGGGAAGCAGAGACATGAGGATCACTGGAGTTTGCTGGCCAGACAGCCTACAGTATATACATCAAGTCAGCCTGTTCTAAATATATTGTAAGGTCAAGGCCTGACACATGATACCACTACCCAAAATTGTCCTTAAAAACAATGAACTTAGAACCAACATGATGACAGAGTCAGGAGCATCTCTGAGTCTGAGACCAGCCTGGTCTATATCGTAAGTTCTAGGGAAGCCAGGACTAGTATATAAGGAGACCCTGTCTCAAAACACAAAAACAAACTTGAGAGGCTTGGGAGGCTTGATTGGGAACACCTGTTACTCTTGCAGAGGACCTGTTCAGTTTCCACCACCCACATAACAGCTCACAGCTACTCTTGACACCAGTTCCAAGGGATGCAAAGCCCTCTTCTGATCTCCTTGGGGCCAGGGTTGCATATGATGCACATACATGTACATAGACAAAGCATTCATACACATAAAATAAGAAATTTTCTTTTTAATTTTTAAATGCCTGGAGGGGCATGACTGGAGAGATGGTTCAGTAGTTACAGAGTACTTGCTGCTCTTTTGAACCTGAGTTCAATTCCTAACACCCACAACTTTTTTGTTGTTGTTTGTTTTGTTTTGTTTTTCTCTGTATAGCTTTGGTGCCTGTCCTGGAAGTAGCTCTTGTAGACCAGGCCGGCCACGAACTCACAGAGATCTGCCCGCCTCTGCCTCCCAAGTGCTGGGATTTAAAGGCGTGCACCACCACTGCCCAGCCCACAACCATCTTTAACTCCGGCTCCAGGCATGCATGTTTACAGAAATACATCTAGGCAAAACATACATATTACAAATTAAATAAAAAACTAATGAACATGGAGCTTGGAGAGATGGCTCAGCGGTTAAGAGTGTATACTGTTCTTGTAGAGGGCCTGAATTCCATAACACCCACAGGAGGCAGCTCCAAACCACCTGTAACTCCAGCTTCAGAGGATGACACCCTCTTCTGGATGCCATGGGCACACATGTGTGCGTACACAAACACAGATACATATATACACATAGTAAGCTTTTTTTTCAAGAAAGCACTTTAAATGAATGTTTAGAAAGTGTTTAAAGTCAACAACTCACATATAAACCTGGAAAAAAAAGGCTGACCCTGCATGGCTACTATTAACTATTTTTTCCCCAAGAATAAACAGCAGAGAGCTGAAATTTTTCCAATCTAACATAACTTTTCCCCCTTGAATGCTGACATTCGGAAGAATGCTGGATAACAAGGTGAAGAATAATAGAAAATATACATACATATGATTGTTAAATACCCTCTAGATTAACTGGGGATCTTCGATTGTCCTTTAAATTAAAAATTGCTTCAAATATGCAACTATCTCCTATGCCTCCTGCTATTTCACTTTCGAGCTGTTAGTTCATTGTACAGAATTATGAACTGAAGTTGCGACTGAGGGCGTTTTTTAACACTTTAACAGGTGACAAGAAATGACAGCTGTCAAATACATAACATCTCTCTATACTCGCTGTGTTTTTTACTCCTGGTAAGCCAGATTATCTGTTCGACTCCTATAAATTACTCAACAAAGTAAAACAACTTCCTTGTGTCATCAGCTCTCAAAACACCTGAGACGCGCTTCATGAAGAAGCTGATTAAAGCGAAGGCCCGAGTAACTTTTCCCTAAGAAAGCAAAGTATAACATTCTTCCTCACAAACTTGAAGTCACTGTTTTAGGAAGCATTCCAACTGAGATTTGGGACAGTGCCGCACACGAAAGAAACTTTTAACTCCGGATCCAAATCAACGTTCCTCTTCTTCCTCCCTTCCCCCAGGAGTCGGAGGAGGGGGGGGTGGAGTGTGAAAGTGCCGCGTTGCAGCCACATCCCTGCACGCTGCGTCCGCGGGGCGCCCCGCACCCTAAGCGGGCCCCTCAGAGCACCCTGCGCCGTCCTCCCCAGCCCGCACCGCAGCGGCGCCCCGTCCACACCCGGCCTGCAAAGCCTCTGGAGCTGCACGGCCTCCCGGGCGGCTCACCATCGCAGCCCCAAGACCGAAGAGGAACAGGTGGGCAGGCCCGCGGCTGGGGAAATCCGTTATCGGGGCTCGGGATCCATTGGCGCCAACAACTTCTCCCGCGAAGTGGCAGAAGCGCAAGCGGCGGCGCGCGGCGATGACGTCAGGAGGCGCGCGCTCGCCGCGCGGCCCCGCCCCCAAAGCGGGAGTTTCACGCTTGGGCGCGGTACCGCCCCGGCGGCTGGAGGATTGCTGCTGCCTCTGTAGAGTTCGGTGTGCGCGTGCGATCGCGACCCGGACGCCCAATCTGTGGACTGAGGCTGACTTCCTCTAAGGCGGGTTCCCAGGTGCCTTCCTTCCGTGTACACGTGCACAGCAAGGGCAGTGCTCGGCAGCAACTTCCAGTAGGTTTTACTCCCACCCTCAATAAAATGAAATGTATTCGATACTCACTGCATACATCAACTGTTCCCCCTCAAACTTTACTCTGATTTGTTTTGTTTTCTTTTTAATGTTTGACCTATCGATTTTGGCTCAAACTAAGAGACCCATAGTTAGAAAAGTCCCAGGATAAAGAGCAAATATTTATTACTTTTTACACGTTTATTTATTGGCGGTGGAGTTCGCCAGTGACATCAAAGAAAAGTTTGTGGGAGCCCTTCCGCCACGTGGGTACATGTTTGCTTTAAAGGGACTATGTACATTAAAGGAATATTTACATTAAGTTTTTTTCTTTTAAATATTTATTTTTATTTCATGTGCATTGGTGTTTTGCCTCCATGTAGGTCTATATGAGAACCTCAACTCTCCTGGAACTGGAGTTACAGACAGTTGTGAGCTGTCATGTGAGTGCTGGGACTTGAACCTGGGTCCTCTGGAAGAGCAGCCAGTGCTCTTACTACTGAGCCATCTCCCCAGCCCCTGCATTAAGTTTTGTTGTTGTTTTGAGACAGGATCTCATGTGTACCATCCTGGTCTCAAACTGTTCAAGTCCCTGAACATGACCTTGAACTAATAATTTTTCTACTGTCTCCTAAGCGCTGATATTTCATGTTTATATACCAACATTCCTGGTTGATATATATATATCAACATGCAGGGGATCAAGCTCTGAGCTACTATGAACAAATGCAACCAACTGAGCAACCCCAGCCCCAACAGCTCTTTGTTCTAAAACTACCAAACTACAAAAACTAGCCCCTTAATTCCTAAAGCTTCAGTAAACTGTTTAAAGAATAGTGAAGTACCCAGGTAGTGATGGCACACTCCTTTAATTCCAGCACTTGGAAAACAGAGGCAGGCAGATCTTGGTGAGTTTGAAGCCAGCCTGGTCTACAATGTGAGTTCTAGAAGAGCCAACAGAGCAGTTACACAGAGAAACTCTGTCTCAAAAAAGCCAAAAGAAAAAAAAAAAAAAGAATAGGGAAGTCGACCTTTAATCTGAGTACTGGAAAGGAAGATGCAGACAGATCTACGGGAGTTCAAGGTCAGCCTGGTTTATGGAGCAAGTTTCAGGACAGCCAAGCTTCATAGAGGAAGCCTGTTCAAAATAATAAATTAAAGAGAGAGAGAGAGAATGATAGTGAAGTCTGAAGCAATGCATATCAAGATAGACACCCACAGAAAAACTAGAATCTAAAGAGAGTTAAGATAAGCAAGTCTCAAGAAGGAGCGAGGTTGTTTCACTCTGTCAGTTTGGATAGCTGGCTTTGGTATGTGACTCAGGTGGACCCGGAACTCATGATAAGGCCTCTGCCTCCACCACCCCACTGCAGGGATTACAGGGGTAATCCTGTAATCCACACCTGGCCGGCAGGTTTCCGATTAATAATTAAACAACTTGGTTGTGGAATAGAATGTAACATTTGCATACAATTTCAAGAGAAAACATGAGATTATCCAAGAATTTAGTGAGAAGAGCAATATCAAACTTTGGCCTTAGACTTTCAAATCTTTTTCTAACTCTTCCGGTAGGGCCTTGTCCCTTTATGACCCTGTATCTACCAGGAGAGGCTGTAAAGCATTCAGGAATACAATAGTGTGTATTTACTAGATATCTATTGCGACATGATTTTGGTTTTGTTTTGTTTTTTAACAGAACTTCTCGATGTAACACTGGCTAGCCTGGAACTCACTACCCAGACCAGCCTGGCCCGGAACTCCAGAGGTTCACTTGCCTCTGCTTCTCCGATGCTGGGATTAAAAGCGAGTACCACATCCTGCGTCTTTTTTATATGTGCCCCATGTGCAGCTCTGCACTGTTCTAGGTTGAAATTCACCACTAAGAATAAAAATCTCCTAGCTGGGCATGGGGTGGCGCACACCTTTAATCCCAGCACTTGGGAGGCAGAGGCAGGCAGATCTCTGTGAGTTCGAGGCCAGCCTGGTCTACAAGAGCTAGTTCCAGGACAGGCTCCAAAGCTACAGAAAAACCCTGTAGAAAAAAAAAGAATAAAAATCTCCTATTAGAAACAAGTGAACTGTTTCTATGAGCAAGACTTCACTGCCCAGGTCCCCCCAAAACCAGGTACTCTGTTCCTTTCCTCTTTGTGCTAGTTATGTGACCATAGAGAAGTAATTGTGACTCGGTTTCCTTACCTGGTAAAGATGGAACTGTCCCTGACACACATCAAGTAATGATAGCATTTTTGGGGGTGGTAGTTATTTGCTTTGGCTGGAGTTTAATCCAGACAGTCTTGGTATGTAACCCAGGCTGGCCTCAAACTTGAGCTCTTGCCACCTCAGACTCCCACATTCTAGGATTACAAGCATGCACCACAATGCATGGATGATAATCGTGTTCTTACATCAATGCTTGCCTTTATTACTGTGGAGTTCGCACATGTGTGGCAGAAATGACCAGGGAGACCCTGCCTCATCAACAAGGTGGAAGGAAAGAGACAGCACTAGAAAACAGTCCTCTGACCACCGCACACTGTGGTGGGCGTGTGCTCACACCCAGAGACACAAAATAAATAAGTAAAAATAAATATAAAACTCGAGAGCCTTCCAAAAATACAGTATTCTGCCTGCAGGCCAGAAGAGGGCACAAGATCTCATTAAGGCTGGTTGTGAGCCACCATGTGGCTGCTGGGAATTGGACTCAGCACTTCTGGAAGAACAGCCAGTGCTCTTAACTGCTGAGCCGTCTCTTCAGCCCCTTACTGTACAGTTTTGTTTAGGGAAATAACTGATTGTGGAAGACTAGGTCTGTTTGATCCATTGAGAAATCAACAAAATCTGTGAACCAAATCCCTAGAAAGACACAGCAGATATATTATACAATTTTGTTCATACAACCTTAGGGGAACTAAACCAATGTAAATTATTCATTGTGTTATAATCAATAAATCAATGACTAGGTTGCATAAAACTTTCATATGATAGCTGTTGTGGCACACACACTTAAGCCCAGCACTCAGAGACTGAGTCAGGCAACTTTCTGTGAGTTTAGGGCAACATAGTGAGGCCCTGTCTCAAGTAATAAAAGACAAAATATGAGGGTTACTCCTCTTACAGAGGACCCAAACTGGGTTCCCATGAAATTGAAAATTGAAACTTATGGCCTGGAAATGCTGAAGCATGCATGGGCAGCCCGTATATGACAGTTCTGGTGAACTTGTCCCTATTGGGTTTCATGGTCTAAGTTGATGAGGACAACTTACCAGGTCTCTTCCTCAAGAGGGCACCAGATCTCATTACAGATGGTTTTGAGCCATTATGTGGTTGCTGGGAATTGAACTCAGGACCTTTGGAAGGGTAGGCAGTGCCCTTAACCACTGAGCCATCATGGCAGTTCACAAATTCCTGGAACTCCAGTTCTTTGGGATTTATTGCCCTCTTCCAGCCTTCTCGGACACTGCACATACATGGTACACATACCTACACACAGATGCATATCTACACAGAATTTTAAAATGAATCTTTTTAGAAATAAAATAAAATCCTAACCATCAAGACAGAAAGAAACCTGCAAAAAGGGTATATCATGGAAATTTTTTAATTCTTCTATAATAGGTGTATAGTGGCTCACACCTTTAATCCCAGCGATTGAAAAACAGAGGCAAGAGGATTTCTGCAAATTTCAGGACAGCTTAGTTGTATAGCAGCAAGTTCCAGGAAAGCCAGGACTGCCTAGAAAGACCTAGTCTCAAAAATGAAAGAAAAAGAAAACTCGTATACTTTTTGTATTGTATTATTTTTCAGCATTTTTTTTTCTTTTCCTTTTTGAGACAGGGTATCACGCATCTTAGGTTGGCCTCAAACTTGCAACGTAACTGAGGCTGATCTTGAACACCTGATCCTCCTTTTTCCACTTCCCAAGTGCTGAGTCGGATGATAGTCCTGCACCGCCACACCCACTGTAAAACAAGTCGGAGATCAAACCCAGGGCAGTTCTGCAAGAGCAGCAGATGCTCTTAACTGCTGAGCCATCGCTCCAACCCATTTGCTGTTATTTGTTTGTTTGACTGATTGGTTTTCTTTTAATGATTCGAGACCCAGGGTAAAAAAGACACATTTGAAGGGAATTATTACATATTAGATCTGATTATATGGTGCTCACAGGCTATGGCTTAATCCTTAAAAGAAAGGCTGTGGGAAAAAAAATTTAACTCTATCAACAAAAATAATTTTGTGAAAGCCAGAGCTATTTTCTTTCCCACTTAGGAACAGATCACTGATGGGGAAATTGTCTACATTCCATGAAAAACTCTTTGTCCGAAAAGTTAGAATATTGACATTAGAATCTTTCTTAGTTGTTTCTCGGCTTGTGAATAGTTCGATCTAACAGTTTCTAATAGGCTTACGTGATCTTCATCCCCAACACAGAGAGGAAAGGCAGTGCTCTGAAATTTTTGAAAATGGCATAGCAGCAGTAGGCCAGGATGCCAACACAAGGCACAGGAGCTGATTCTTGGCCCTCCTTTATATTCTAATTGCAGGCATGGATAATTGCAAACCACTTGAGGGATTAAATGGCCTCTGTAGCAATGCCTCTGTCTTCTGCTAACTTGTCTAAGCTGTAGGACGCACCCCTGATTCACTTTGAAACCATCTTCAAGAGCACAATGCTCACATTGTCTTTCCCTAGACTTTGAAAAATCAAGGGAAATCAATTGCATTTTCACTGTGCTGCAACAAAACGACCTTCCACCCTCTGGATAAATATTAGCATGCCCTGCTCCGTCAGGGTTTATTGGAACACTTTCCCTATAGACAACAGTCTGTCAGGCAGCTTCTCTGTGGCAGCTGGAGGTCCACACTGGTTGTGTTGACCTTGAAGCTATTTAGGAACACAAACATCA